TATGCAGGTCTAATTAATTTTGAAGTTAAACAGCTAAGTTTCAAGAAAGTCTTCAACAATTTAGACTTTAGATGCCGATAAAAAAATTGTCTAAATTTTTTACTTTCAAGGGAGACCATGCCTTTGAGCAGGCACAGCAACATGGACCCTGCACATAACGCTGCTGAAGTAAACATTGAGTCAAGCTTGAAGAAAATCCTTCAAGGAGTATAAGATTTTTAGAGCTGACACAGGATTGTGGGACATTTGACCTTCAAGTGTGACCTTGACCTTGAGGTGGCACATCAGAAGCATAGGTTTTTATAAATTGCCATGGTGAACATTTCAGCAAAGTTTGATTTAAATCCTTCAAGTGGTATAAAATTTGTAGAGCCAATTGGCTAAGATATGTGACCTTCAAATGTGACCTTGACCTTCATTCCATACAGCAGTGAAATAGGTTCTGCACATTGCCTTTTTCAGGTGATTCATTTGGGCCAAGTATGAAGAAAATCCTCCTAGAAGTTATACAGCTGGCACAATGGAGACGGACACACAGATTGATTGATGTATGTGACAAGAGTGGTACCAGTACAGCCTCCTTCACATTGTGGCTAGAGCAAAATTAAAGCAAGAAGATTTTAGTACATGCAGATTGATAAAATATACAGCGATCAATTGCATCAACCTATTATTATATAGAAAATGTTATCTTAAAAATACATAAAATAATGAAATGAAATAAGGTAGGTATTTACCTTTGTATATGAATTTTTAACAATTTAAATTTCTAATAATTTAATTACTATTTATGACATTTGAACAAATATTATTCCTTGGAGAATTACTTGTATAGTGCACAAAATAAGCTCTCATCTTTCCTGTTAAGTGTTTGCTGAATCAAGTTTCAATATTAGAGAATTGATATGAGATTTGGTACTGTTACTTCAACTTATAGCCTCCAAGAAAAAAACAAATAATTTACAGAAAATTGAACACACAAATTTATTTTAATGACACTATTAAGCAGTTACTTAAACAACTGTTCCCCATGATATAATAAAACTTTGACTTATCATGTTACAGTTTTCTCTTAAAGGCTAATTAAGACTCAAATATGAACAAATGAAAGGGTAAACATGTGTTTTATAATGTTGTAACAATGGATTTAGATCATTTGAGGTGCTAATATCACATGATGAAAATGACAATAAAAGTGACATTATTAGTAATCTAAGTAGCAAAATGTAAGTGGTTATTGACTTCCATACTAAATCACTGTCTATGGTCAATGAATAACTTCCTGTAAACAGTTCAAACACCTGGACACCAAAGTAGAATTTACAGAAAAACAACACAATCAATCAACATTAGCTTTGTTTAAAGACTGGTGGTTCTTAAAATGTTTGATAATAAACCTTGCCAAAAAAAAGTGTAGAATTATTGGTTTTTTTTGTAAGCTTAATTTTAAAATTAGGGATTATTAATTAACAGAATTGTTAAAACCAACATAACATTAAAAGTCTATCATGTCATGGTTGACTGAACAAATACATAATCTCGTCAAAGGTTAAGTAACTTAAGTGGTTGTTACTTTAGTTAAAGGACAGATGTAGCAATAACAAAATCCAAGCCACGATGGCAATATTTCTGATTCATTTGCATCTTTCCTTCATGAACTTTTTATATTAAATATTGTAATATATAGGTCAGAAAAGGCAAAACAGATAATGTAAAATGATAAAATATAATAGTTGTGATGTTACAGTTTATGTTTTTCAGGGCCCAGTCAGCTTTAAATTTATATTTGTATATACAATGATTGTCATAAAAGCATAGTGATATATGACTGAGTGTAATAATTAACATGCATAAAACTCTGATAAACATGGTTATAATATATTGGAAAGCAAGTCTGCTGATACAGCTTATATAAGAAAATTCAAATATAGTCAAACCACATATTGGTAAAATCTATATTAATCTTTGGCATGCACATCCTCCTGTTAAATTTCATATAATATTTCAAACTAAATGTCAATATACTGAAGTACATAGCAATCATTTTTTTACATAATATAAAATATGTAGATAATTCTAGTCATAAATAATTTGAATATTAAACTGGTAGCTCTTTCATAACAAAAGCATTGCAAAGGTGAGACATTATACATAATTATACACTCTAATGGAACTTATCCTTAAAGGCTCATTATGCCACAGATATGCTTCTATCTTTCAAAATAATTTAAATTTTGGTGTCCTGTTAATATTTCAAACAAGAGCACCACTAAGCGGAGCATTATATGCCCAAAAGTGTTGTTGTTTTTTTTTTTAATTAGAATGAAGCATTTGTAAGACATGGGAATAAAATAAAGTATTAACTCCTTCAAATAGCAATCCTCCTATGAAGTTTGAACACTGTGGGCCAAATAGAAATTAAGTTATGCTCCGGAAACTGTTTTCAGTTTTAAAGTAAAAGTGACCTTGACCTTGTGACCCCAAAATCAATAGGGGTCTTCTACCCAATATGGACAATCATCCTATGAAGTTTAAATATTGTTGGCCAAATGGAACTTAAGTTATGCTCCGGAAACTCTTTTTAGTTTTAAGGTAATAAAAACCTTGACCTTTGACCTCAAAATCAATAGGGGTCTTCTACCCAATATGGACAATCATACAATGTAGTTTGAACACTGTGGGCCAAATGGAATTTAGGTTATGTTCCGGAAACTGTTTTCAGTTTTAAGGTAAGAGTGACTTTGATCTTTGACCTTGTGACCCCAAAATCAATAGGGGTCTTCTACCCAATATGGACAATCATACTATGAAGTTTGAACACTGTGGGCCAAATGGAAATTAAGTTATGTTCCGGAAACTGTTTTCAGTTTTAAGGTAATAGTGACCTTGACCTTTGACCTTGTGACCCCAAAATCAATAGGGGTCTTCTACCCAATATGGACAATTGTACTATGAAGTTTTATCACTGTGGGCCAAATGGAACTTAGATTATGCTCCTGAAACTGTTTTCAGTTTTAAGGTAATAAAAACCTTGACCTTTGACCTCATAATCAATAGGCTTCTACCGAATATGGACAATCATACTATGAAGTTTGAACACTGTGAGCCAAATGGAACTTAGGTTATGTTCCGGAAACTGTTTTCAGTTTTAAGGTAATAGTTACTTTGATCTTTGACCTTGTAACCCCAAAATCAATAGGGGTCTTCTACCCAAAATGGACAATCATACTATGAAGTTTGAACACCGTGGGCCACATGGAAATTAAGTTATGTTCCGGAAACTGTTTTCAGTTTTAATGTAATAATGACCTTGACCTTTGACCTTGTGACCCAAATCAATAGGGGTCTTCTACCCAATATAGACAATCATCCTATGAAGTTTGAATATTGTGGGCCAAATGGAACTTAAGTTATGCTCCAGAAACCTAATTGCTAACGGACGGACGGACATTGCTAAGAATGGTCATTTATTGGTACTTTCTTTTGTTTAAAAGTACCAATTAAGAGAACAAAAGTACCCAACAATACTGACAGAATGAATAGAATTACCCAACAAGTGTCCTCTCATTCGCCCGGACAGCCGGAAAGACGCCAGGGGGTATAACATTATACCCGAAATACTTTCGGGCATATAAAAAGTCAAGCTTAAAATCAAAGTTGTTATTTCCCATATGTGAGTGACCAATAGAAGAATCAATTAAGTATCTCTTATCTTTGTTGTAACAGAACATGGGGATTATAGCTGGCAGCTGGCTAATAAAGTGGACAATTTCCTTTTAGAATTTGTTTGCATTATTTCTTCAATTCATATCAGTTACAAAAAGATCAATCTGTCTGTTAAAAATATTTTTCTACAGCTACTTAAACTCTATGCAGTGAGCAATTCACTTCCATATTTGCTTCTTCTTTTCTCTTTTCAATTTATACCTGAAGAATTTTTAATACAATCAATTTTTCTATTTTTTTCCCTTTAAAATTAGGATAGTGCAGAATCTTATTTTATTCATTATCTTTTTAATGATCTAACAATCATGTTACATAAATGAGCCGCGTCACGACAAAACCAACATAATGGGTTTGCAACCAGCATGGATCCAGACCAGCCTGAGCATCCGCGCAGTCTGATCAGGATCCATGCTGTTCGCTTACAAACCCTATAACAAGTAGAGAAACTGATAGCGAACAGCATGGATCCTGATCAGACTGCGCGGATGCGCAGGCTGGTCTGGATCCATGCTGGTCGCAAACCCATTATGTTGGTATTGTCGTGACGCGGCTCAATTACACAATCAGACTGATGGTTTCTTTACCCACAAAGTAATGGGGGTAGAAAGGGAGGTCACCCTTACAAAAGAGAGGCATGTAGAAATTTCTTTGGATTAAAGTGACATGCTCATATTTTCATTGTCAAGTTGAGCTGAATTGACTTTATATTTCAAAAGATTGACTGTTATGATGGTAATTCACCAACGGTTGATATTGGACAAAATATAAATCTGCCTTTAATATAAAAAGAGACTGCCCCACTTTTTTTATAAATTGAACATTAAAGAACACTTCTGATGGGTATTTACATAAAATTCCTTGGGTCAATTGTGAGCTTTTTATTATTGATGTGAAGTAAATTATAAAATTGAAAGGAATTATGGCAAAATGTAAAACTATTTTGACCTTCACCTGTTCAATCACTATTTACCCTTGAATGGGCATGTCACTTAAAATGTTTTCTTTTCTACATTAAATTCATATACATTTATAGTGCAAAGAATTTTATTCTAACTTTTGAATCCTATAATAATTATGATATAAGAAAAAAATATTAAGCAAAAAAAATAAAAAAATCACAAAACATAATCTCTAAGACTGTGTCTACTGAATGGCGTGTAATTAATAGGTTTATTTTTTAATCTTGAATAAAAAGTAAGCATTGTGGACTACATTATGACTTAAATTAACTCAACTAACTGATAAAGCACAGAGATTTCTCCAAAATTTGTAGATTTCCAATAAGATTTTAGAGAGTGAGGGATATATAGAGTGGCTGCCACGGTAACAAAACTGTTAGAAATGAGCATTGGGCAAATATTTTGTTTCTAATCTATTCTAGGGAGTTATTAAGACAAGGGTAAGTGTAATTTTAAATACATAGAAAAAAAACAACTCATTTCTTGGCAATTTTAATTAACATTAATTTGTGAAATTGATTTCTGAAGTTTAAAATAATTCATTGGTTAAAACAAATGTTGTAATTAGTTAACAAATGTAGTTTAAAATACAATATAACTGAATTGATGAAACATGCAACATTTATTGTAAATATTTTTTTACATTTTTTTTTGAGCATTTCATTTTAAAATGTAAAGTTATATGTTATAAAGGTCTAGAATACCAATTCCATAAAAAAATACAAATACTCATTGTATTTTTAAATAAAGATAATAATTTAAAATTATCATTTAACATATAACATTAAATGTTATTAATAATTAAAATGTTGCTAAAAAATTGTTAAAAAATATGGAAACATATAAATATTATGAACAATTTTGATACTCCCTCTCTCCAAGCATGCACACACTCACACACAAAAAGCAGACAATAGAAAAAAATATATGCATACAATATTATAAATCAGAACAACTTTCATTTAAGTAAAATTGTGTGTAAATAGACATATATTAATGATATTTTTATTTTTTTTGCGAAAGTACAAATAATTATAAATCTGCCTTTGGGGGCATCAAAATACAGAATGAGAACACATTGCAATAAATATACAAACTGATCAATAAGCTCTGTCTATATGGCAATAAAATAACATTTTTTTATTTTTTTTAAACCAGGTTTTCTAGAGGAAAACAATAGGTTAAAAATTATATTGGTGTATTTGTTGGGCCTGTGGATTGGCTCTGTGTAAAAATCTACTTCAGTACTTACTTAACTTCTCCATGAACAACTAACCACTGTCACAAAGTGCCATGGTGCATATTATTAGGGTTTGGTCATTTTTGGCAGAATTATCATGGTTCTCTGGCTTTTTTCTCCACATAATTATACAAGAGGGCCGGCCATGATGGCCCTAAGGTCGCTCACCTGTATATAGTCCCCCCTACCCCCCCCCCAAACGTTGCATGGCCAATTTAACCCAAGGGCTTTTATTTGCACAAACTTGGTAGACACCCATAAGAAGATGTTTCATTTGAGTTTTTACTATACATATATAGTTAAAAACAATGACACCCCTGGGGCTGGGCCAGTTTTGACCCCAGGGCTTTTATTTGAACAAACTTTGTAGACACTTATTAGAAGATGTTTCATGCTTAATATCTAAACTCTAGCTATTTGGGTTTTTTCAAAGAAGATTTTTTAAGTTTTTGCTATACACATATAAAGAAAATCAATGACCCCCGGGGCGGGGCCAATTTTGAACCTAGGTCTTTTATTTGAACAAACTTTGTAGACACTCACTAAAAGATGTTTCATGCTTAATATCTTAACTCTAGCTATTTGGGTTTTTTCAAAGAAGATTTTTTAAGTTTTTGCTATACACATATAAGGAAAATCAATGACCCCCGGGGCGGTGCCAATTTTGACCCCAGGGCTTTTATTTGAACAAACTTGATGCTAAATATCTTAGCCATAGCTCTTTGAATTCTTTAAAAGAAGATTTTCCAATTTTTTACTATATGCATATAGGGAAAATCAATGACCCCCTGGGGCGGGGCCAATTTTGACCCCAGGGATTTTATTTGAACAAACTTGGTAGACACCCATTAGAACATGTTTCATGCTAAATATCTTAGCTCTAGCTCTTTGGGTTCTTTAAAAGAAGATTTTTAAAGTTTTTACTATATGTATATAGGGAAAATCAATGACCCCCCGGGGCGGGGCCAATTTTGACCCCAGGGCTTTTATTTGAACAAACTTGGTAGACACTCACTAGAAGATGTTTCATGCCAAATATCTAAGCTCTAGCTCTTATGATTTTTTAAAAGAAGATATTTAAAGTTTTTTCTTTCGGTTGCCATGGCAACCAGAGTTCTGAATGGAATTAAATTCTTTGAACAATTTTTAAAGGTGACCACCAAAGGAACATTCCTGTGAAGTTTGGATGAAATTGGCTCAGTGGTTTATGAGGAGATGTCATTTAAAGTAAAAGTTTACGGCCGGACGCCGGACGGACGGACGACGGACGGATGGACGACGGACGGACGCCGGACGAAAAGCGATCACAAAAGCTCACCTTGTCACTTTGTGACAGGTGAGCTAATAAAAATGGCAAAAAACCAGGTTCTGTCACATGCACCTTAAAGTTACATTAAATAAATATGTAAAAATATTTTGCCGTCGGCCTAAAAATCAAACATTCTACATTTTCATTAACCTGTTTAACAGTATTGTTGTAAATCTCATCGAATATAGTTCATAAATAAGGATTTTAAAGGGAAAACCCCACGGTAACACTAATGTTCATATACGAATTTTAACATGCAAATGAAGATTATAATCAGCTTGTGTATGCGCTACGTCACAGTGTTATAGCTGTTATCCGAAACACAACAAATATGAGATTTTCTTGTGCAAACACATTTTAACCGTTTAACTTCACGGTGCACTAGGCCTGAGGTTCAGTAAAAAGTAATCATCTCATAAAAAAAGATAAAATTTGTATGAAAACATCCGTTACAATGCAGAAATATACCGTTAAATTAGGACTGCTACCTATAGTCATGTTTGTTGATTTAACATTGATGTACGGATGATCTGAAGGCGGAGTTTCTCATGCAAACAGATATTGTACTTCCAAGTTCGCCACAATGAGGTTGTCCATTTTTTATGCTTATGAAACTCATTTTGGTTGTGTAGACACCAAAATAAGATCTGGAGTCGATATGAAACCCAATTTATTAATGAAATGTCGCTATTTCTGTTTTTATGAAATTTATTAAATGTAACTTTAAATAACAAAAGGTTGTTTGTTTCCTAAATCATAAATTAATGATATCTCTACTGCTATAATCTATCGTCACCTCTGACTTAGATTATTATTGTCATGTTTTTCCACAACATTTTCGGAATGCTACCAACCATGTTGCAATTGTTGTAAAAAGTCTGATTTGGGAATTTAAGAGTATATTGATCTATCTAATAGAAACTACTAAACAGATAAATTATAATAAATGAAAGAACAGATTTAAGTGATAGCTTTATATTGTCAAATTTTCTTGTTTAAGTAATTTTAAGGAATCCATTCTGAAAAAAAAATACAGAAAAATAAAACAATGCAGATTGAGGAATGCTTCGAACATTGGGAAAATAAACTTGTTTTATAACATTAGGAATGGCCCAGTGTTTACTGGTTGTTACTAATATAGGGAAAAAGGACTGCAAATGTCATTAGTACATTCTGAAAGGAACATAAATGATGCCAATAATCTAATTGGCCACTATCTAATCAATTATAACTATCAATCTTATCTCTCTCAATCCCTTCCCTTTTAGCAGATAAAACTTTTTCAATGAAATAATTAGCTTGGAGAAAGAATTTTTTTATTAGGAGAAAATTATTGCCTTCCTGTACCAGATGTACCTAATACATGATAAACTTCTGACCTCAGAAGTCATCTAACTTTGCAATATACTTGACAATACCATAAAAACATCAATTTTAGTTGTTGATCTTTTTGGCTATAGATACTTTCTTAGAATAATACTGTCACAAAACACTTTTGTGAATGTCTCTATTGATGCCAATATTTATCATTCATGAATGGGTGATTACAATAACTCTATTGCAACAGTTTGCTGCATTTAGTTGGGAGCCAATCTTGAAAGATATGATAATAATTATATCTTTGTTATATCAGACACTTTTTTCTTAACATTATGAAAGTAGCTGCCTGTTTCTAACAAAACAATGTCTGAATGCTCAAAGAAAAATTAAATGTCTGCTTCAATGCTTTTTATCTTTTTTATTTAATATCTATAACACACAATTATTCCTTAAAATGTAACTTTATAATAAACCTAAATAAGACTTCTTATAATCAGTTTTATTGTCTTGTTAGTTTCATTGGCAAAAGATCTGGACCTTCTTTTGGTTCTTTTGTATTTTAACAATTGGTACAGTTAAAGAGATAAAGTATGTTGTAAGGAAGTCAAAATACCTCTTTGTTAATATAATGATACCTGGATCAAAAATTGTTTCACATTTATACAACGGTTATTCTGTCAAATGCTCAAAGTCAATCATGACAACATAAAACACATGACTATAAGTTTGCCCTTTTTACAGACATAAAAAATTCTGAGGTTTATCATGCCTTTAAATTTTCTTATACACTTTTTCCCTTCACATTCCAGTTAGGCTCAGCAAACCCATGTCCAGTCAGAAAACCAGAAAGAAATGTTTTGGCATTTATGTTTACATTTAAGCATAATGTATCACACAAAGAAAGAAAAAAAACACATTTAAAAACGTCTTAGTGAATCATTAAAAGAAAATCACATAAAAAATTAGTCTGCAAAAAAATTACTATACAATTTGAACCAATTACCATTATCTTAATGGGAAATGAACTGTAACATTTCATTGCAAGGGATAATAATTATTTGAATTGACTGATTAGTAAAACTCAGGATAAATGTTTGATTACTTTCTTATCACAAGTCATATGTTCTGTATCCATTAGTGTAACATTTAAGACTAAATAAGAAACATTTTCTTTTCTCTGATACTTTTTGACTGGTGATTTATCACTTGACCATTGTTATAACAATATTTTCCCCATTGTGCAGTCTGTATTCTCTTTGCTTGGACCTTTGAAGGCAACCTGCTGAACATTTCAGCATACCTTTGCAAGCTCTTCCAAAATGTCTCCTTTGACAAAACCACATTGTATACCTGTTTTAAAGAACACCAGTCAACTTCACCACTGGCCACTATGTACTTCCTGATTAATTAAGAGAGGTTACTACTGCAGGGAGTCTGCTGTATTTATAATGAAGCATGAAAAACACTGTTGTGTTGTTTTATCATTGGAGCAACACAATTTGTGATAGTTTTGTATCTTCCTCTTTTCAAGAATTGTAGACAGAACTCTCAAGCTTTTCACATATGGAATT